TGAGGCACTTGGATACTAAAAAGAAGTTTCATTGGGACTTCATTATCGTGTTATATACATTTTAGTTCTACTTGCATGTACATGTTGCCACCTCCAAATGTGGGCTATAACCTTGGTTATCTTGTAGCCATTGTCACCTTTAAATCAATTTATGCGATAACTAAAGCTGCACTACAACCATCCTATTCGAGACTTATGTTGCATGCATGCCTGTATTATAGTAATGAATTCCTCAAGTTTAGCTTATTTTGTGAAGTTAATTTCATTATAATTATCGCTACATCCAAATTCATAACAATTTTGATTATTTCTTAGTTATCTCCTTCCAAACATTTGTTGTACCCTCACTTGTACCATAACCTTCTTGAAATCCATTGTCACGACCTCACTTGTGTCATGAGCATTACCACACACAAACATGTTCAAATCATTGTTCGACCACATACTTTTTCTTTTAGAGTACTTCTTGCACCCATCTCCTTTAAAATTAAAATCGTTTGCATCATAATTATCATAAATTTCACAGATAAGATAATTTCATCTACACCCTAATAATATCTTCATGACCCACAATGAGCCTTGTATGCCATTGAAAGTTTTTTTTTTCTTTCTATGAGTACAATACTGCTTGTGACTCATTAAAAGAATAAAATTTTACCACTTTAATAAATATTATATTATGCATATGCAAGAGTTCAATTAGTTGTTTTGCTACAAAACTCATATTTTATGAACACTAAATTGGGCAGTCTAATAAAAACTCCATTAAAATAGAAACATCTTACAATTTTCATATTCTAATCGAATCACCTAAAAATGGTACTCATAATACTTTTATATAGATTTAAACAATATATGCATATGAAAATACTCTTTTTCAAAAACACTCTAATTCTTTAATTTATATATTACAATGAAATTCTTTAATTTATAGCATATTAGTTAGAAAAAAAATATATAGAGTATCAAATGTTAGATTTGAACGCTCATCTAGCACATTCGATAAGTAATAAAAACAAGAAAAACTTAAAAAAAGAAGGTGCTTTCGATGAGTGCTGCTACTTTAGTCTACTGCAGGGAAAACTGAACACATCAGCTCCCATATATCATTTCCATATCATCTTTTTCATAAATAAGTAACAGGAATCATTGGGCTGATCAGTTAGAGACTAAGGCTCTATTTGGGGCAGTTGTAGCTTATCCAGCTTTTGCTGATAAGCAGCTTATTCTGATAATCTGTGATAATCTGCTGATATAATCTGCTGATGACCAGCTGAAATGGATAAGTTGTCTGGCTGTTTGGTTAGTGCGTCTGAAAAATTAACAATTTTGCCCCTGTTCTGAATAAGATGTGGTGAGCGCCTGTGTGGCGTGGGTGTTTTGTACATGTATTAAAAAAACATATGCTTTTGTATGAATAAATAAATAAACAGTAGAAATAACTAATTTCCAATCAACTCTATTCAATTTGCTGCAAGCTGAAAATCAAATTGATTTAAGCCAAACAAACTCATAATTGAATCAGCTTGAAATATGAGCAAATTTTGAAGGCAAGGAGATTCATTGTCAGGACAAGTAGAATGTGTCATCAGATGAGAAGAGAAAAAATGGAGTATGTTTGGCCAGCTAGGGTTTCTAGCTAGGTTTTACCTGGTGACATGTCTTCCCGTTCTCCGAGTCGTAGATACGCCCTCCCTGTACTCGGATCCCGGGGTTCTTAGAATGCTTGGCTGGGGGTGGCACGATATCCTTCTTGCTCTCGCTTTCCTCCATTTTCTGGCGGCGGTTGACTGGCGAAGTGGAGGAAACGGCCATGGATGAGGGTGACGAGCTCTGTTGGATCCGACTGGAGGGTTAGCGCGAAGGGCAGGTGGTGTTCAACAGAACTTCGGGATGGCGATCGGATGGCGAACAAAACTTCGGGATGGCGATCTCGGGTAGAGCGGGGAGGAGAAGATGAAAAAGCGAATAAAGGAGTGAAGATGAGAGGAGAGGAACGAGATTTTTTACCACTCTCGGGCGATTGGGAAGTGCTGAGGGAGAAGCGCAGAGGGTCGCGCGAGAAGGGTAGGCGGGTAAAGATTCGCGTGGAGTACGTTCGGAACGCTGATCGTGGGGTTATACCCGCGATCTCGTATCCGGTAATTTAGAGACGCAGTTTTGTGATAATCTCCCTAAACGTGTGAAACAAACAGTGCGGCGGCGTTTTTAAAAATGCCGCCGCACTTATAAACTGCCCCAAACGGGCCCTAAATTTAAAAGAAGAATAATGTTGATGATTGAATAATAAAAATATATAATTCTCATTATATTAATCTTAAATTATAACTAAAAAAAGAACATGATTTGTTGGGACAAAAATATTATGTGCGGCAAACAAATGACACATCCAGATTATAGTATCAACGAGAAAATATTACATCAGGAGTCCTGATGCAAAAAAATACATCAGGACTCCAATCATAGCATGTCAGGTGTATAGTCCGAGCCCCCTTAAAAAAAAAGTAAAATAATTTAATACACGGTGGGCCTGTACTATACACATGACAGACAGTGATTGGAGTCCTGAAAATGTATCAGAACTTCTGATCTAATATTTTTTCGGTATCAACAACCCTTTTTAGCCGTTACCCGGACGTGCAGTCACAGCACATAATTTTTTTCTAGAACTCATTGAAAGTGGCTCTTGCTTTACTACAAAAAGAAACATATTAAAAAAATATAAAATGTGCATATTTATGATTGATTAGTTGCTTGAAATAAGAAAGAAAAGCTTCAAAAAAAGATTTTAATTTAACAAGAAATTGTAAAAGTGCCTTAAAGATGATTTTCGACAAACGGGGCTCGAAAATTTCACAAATATTCGAAATGAAACTCATTTAAATTACATTTACTTGTGACTAAATAAAAATTTTCTAAAAGAATACATTGTTTCGCACTTTTAAAATTCAAGTTTAAACATCTATTTACATTCGCCTTACTTAACAAACAATACAAACTCAAGCTATTGCCTTTGACAGTTCTATTAGCCTAACTCAGCATAGAGAACTTTTTCCATAATTAAACACAAAAGCTAGTATGTTCTCACAGCTGCATTTCAGATCCATGTAGATCAGATAATCAAATACAATGAAACAAAGAAAATGGTATCCCAATTAAAAGGAATGTTATTATTTCACAAGAAAAAAAATAGTAAACCAACATGTAATATATATATATATATATATTCTCATCCAGTAGTTAGACGTCCGGACATAATATTTTCTAGACATATGGAGACAAATTTGGTGTTGCACTTTCTCCATTCTCTGAGACATTTCTACACTGATGACATTGAGCAGATGTTGAACAATGTGGAACAGTCTCAGAATGCCCAATATTCATCATCAACGAATCGAGCATAGAAGAAAAAAAAAAACAACAAACTGATTGATTCATTCGTTCACCACCAGGAATCACCGTTGTCGTCGACACCACCACCTCTGCCACCGCCGCCCAACTTTCTGCCACATTTTTCACTGGCACAATATCCACCAAGAAATCAAACACCTGATGTTCTGCAATTTCTGAAGAGATGCACCCCTCTGCAAAGTCTTTCGCTTGTTCTGATCAGCCTGACACCACGAGCCATGGGTCAGCTCGAGGATGAAGAGCTCGCGGGCCTTCGAGAGAAACGCGGGCACCTCGGCGGTGATCATCTTAACATGTTCGTTGTCCTTCATGATTTTTTGTTTCTGGTCAGGGGGAGGCTATGGTTCTTGATGTTCTTGTGTACTTTGATATCCTGGATTAGATTTACGCAGAAAGGCTAGTGTCCCAATTCTTGCTGCGTCAGCTATGGTTGTTGAACTTACGGGGGAATTTGATATAGTGGAGGGAAGTGAGAGGGAAACTGGTTAGGCAGGTCATTTGTTAGCAATTGTGGATTGGTGCCTATTATTATGTTTGTTGGGAGTCTATTGGTGACTAGCGGCAATTGAAATGAATCCATGGCAGTCTGTTGTTCCTGCTCGGTGGCATTCTGCATGATCATTGAAACAAACAATCAATATATCAATATGATGCGGGAAAAATGATTTATGCTTTTGTTTAGGAAATCAGAAGGATAGGGGATCTTTATTGAGTAGTATAATGTCATTTTTTGTACCTTAAACCTTTGCCGATTTTGGTTTTTTTAGCCCTTTCATTTGCTTCAAAATTTCATTTGGTGACACATTATAAAAAAAAAAAAACTAGGAGCAAATCTTGATAAGAAACATCCTTAGAACAATATCTCATTCAAAAAAGCAGATGATTGTTACTTTTTATGATACGATCTCATTCTTGAACTTCGATAATCAGTAATTAGATGATGTCGACAACATAAAAAATTATGTGGCAGAAGAATATATAAGAGAAACTTGGATGGAAAAGGACAAATCACAAACCAAGGATATATGAAAATTAGAAAGAGGGGAGAGAGGGTAGAAGAAGAAACACACTTGAGGGAGAAGCTTATCATATATTCATTTCATTCCCCCTATGTCCACAGAATTCAAAACTACTAACTATCATCAACTACTTTGTTAACTAAACTTATTAATTTATGTTAACTATGTCTTCTTCGCACTGCAATTCTTCCATGGAAGTCCAAGATCGACGGGAAAGAGATGGGAGAGAAGGAACAAAAAATGTGAAGGCGGGGCAGAAGGGTATACGCGTAAAAGGAAAAAGGTAAAGCTCGTAGTAAAAACGGACCGCGAGAGGGATCGGACTGCCCGGGTTCAGTTGAGCGTCAGGGCCTCCGTAATCAAATCATCACCCCAAATTCTTGCGCAGACGCCCCCTTATACCACTGAAAATTATATATATCACATAAAAATATCATTACTTTAATTTTCAAAACTAAAATATAGATTTTCATGCATACATAAAAATTACCTATATATAAAAATAAAAATATAGATATGAGACGGTAAATAAATCTTCCATAAAAAATTAAAAAAAATGACGACCGTTCGATTTGAAGGAGCACCGAGATTTCACCCTCCGCCACCACAACCACCGGGACCCTGCTTCTTCCACCGGCACGTGGAACCTCCAAGACCAACTACCGGCACCTGTACTCCACGTGTTCTTCCATCCCCGTTTCTTTCTCTTGTTTTGAAAAGCCCGGAAAGAAGTTAAGCGGCGAAAACCCAAAACAATGGCTCCAAAACGCTCCAAGAACGTAGTCGGCACAGTGGTGCAGACGAAGAAGAAGGTCGTAGAAGAGATTGTCAAGATCGAAGTCGAAATGATAGACCCCGAGGGGCATCAGAAGCCGATTGAAACAAACAAGGAAAAGGAGACTGAAAACAGCGAAGAAACCAGAGAGGAAAATGCAGAGAAGAAGAAGAGAAGGAGGAAGAAGAGGAGAGGGAGCGTCGTCGGGGCGGCGAGTGGGGGTTACAAGAGGTATGTGTTGAGAGTGATGAAGCAAGTGCATCCGGGGATGAGGGTTTCAGGGAAGGCTATGTCCGTGATTGAAGGGATGATGTGCGATATGTTCGAGAGGATTGCAGACGAGGCTGCGCAGCTGAGTAAGTACACTGGTAAGTTGACATTGTCTTCTAAGGAGATACAGGATGCTGTGCGGCTCATAATGCCGGGAGAGCTCGGGAAGCACGCGATTTCTGAGGGTATGAAGGCTGTCACAACCTATATGGGAAAATAGCTCGGATGAATGGGTTTTAGCGGTTAGGTAGATTTTTGCTATTTATGTATGTTGTCTTAAGCTAAGATGTAGTTGGTGCAGGATAGTTGGCAAGAAGTATGACTTTTTGGAAATTAATTAAGGTTTTATTTTGTTATGTAGACTAAGCTGACACCATTTTGAAGGGGGTTATTTTGTCCAGTGTTGGCTGTAAGCTTAAACATGTCATTTGTTTATTTTGTTCAGTGTTGGCTGTAAGCTTAAACATGGCTGTAAGCTGATGGTATTGTGGTGCGGTATAAAATATGGTGGTATTGTGATGCCTTATAAATCATGGAATCGGTGGATTAAATTTCTTGGAGGTTGATTAAGAAAAAAAAAAAGTTTTGCCACAATTGTTACCCTAAACTGGGGTGTTTTTTTTTTTTTATATTTTTTAATATTTATTTTCTTTTGGATATTTTAATGATTAACGGTTTGAGTTTTTTTTTAATTTATTTAAGTGAATATGACAACTCATGTCTGAATGAGGGTGAGGATTGCACCACCTTCTATGAGTGGTGGAATTCTGACAATAGTCTGCGTGCACAAGATATGGAATTGTGATCGGATTTAGACGATGTTCCATGTAATATTTTCTCAATACAGAAGGTTTTTGTACACCCAAAATGGCCTACACAGATCTCAACAGTCTGACGGTCCATATCGAATGCTAATAAGCATGAAGCCGCCAAGAAAACTTATAGCTGACCGACCGCCTTAAGGTCGGCTACAAAGATCCGCTAGGCCAGCCGAAAGGTAGATGACCATATCACTTTTACTGTTTTCAAATCGATTTCTTAACAAGCTTCTCCATTGTAACGATATAGTACTCCTTCAAAATTGTGTATTACGCGGACACATATACTTGCGTGAAGTGGTCGCCCACTTCGTGGCACTTTTATGACCCATCACGAACACTTGTAAGTGTGGTTGCTCAACAAGACACCATAAGTGAGGATGCTCAAAGTGACACCTCATGCATGGATGCTTAGTGAGACATTCGAAAATGCAACAAGTAAAGCATATTTTACTTGCAACAAAATATCATAGATATCTAGTCAAAATAAGATTTTCATACTCATACAAATAAACTTATAATATGATATGAAGCAAAGACATACAAGCATGCAAGTGATTGGTTGACTGGATCGTGATAAATGATCGAACCAAAATGATGGGTTGATCAGTCTGAGATAATCGATCAGACCCAAAAGAGTGGGTGATCGGCTCAGGATGACCGATTAGACTCAAAACAGGTGATCGAACCATAGCGATCGATCAAACCCAAAAAATCGGGTGATTGGTCAGGGACGACTGATCAAACCCAAAGCAGGGGATTGAACCAGAGCGATTGATCGAACCCGAGAGAGAGAGAGAGAGGGTGATTGACTCTGGATGACCGATCAAGCCCAAAGCAGGTGATCAAACTAGTACGGTAGATGAAATCGGAAAGAGCAGGTGATCGGTCCAGAATGGCTGATCATACCCAAAGAGGGTGATCAAATAGATGTGATCGATTAAACCTAAGAGATCGGGTGATCGAGCAAGGGCAGTGAAATAAGCCTGGGAAATAGCTTGATCGGGCTAGGATGGCCGATCAGACCCAAAGCGGGTTATCAAATTGGTGTTGTTGATCAAACCCAAGAGATAGGACGATCGGGTTGGGACAACCAATCGAGCCCAAAACGGTCGGTCGATCGTATTGGTAAGGTCGATTAAACAGAACTGACCACGAGGACAAGCATACAAATTTCAATGATGCCAAAAATCATCATACAACCCAAAATACTCGACGACAGGTTGAACTCGCTCTATCGATCTAATGTGGGATCTAGCGTTATCATTATGGAGAGGTGTCAATGTCATATTGAACGAAGCATCGTGACCTTGTCAATTGTTTGCCCTACGTGGAGCGGAGGGTTTTTCAAGAGGAGAACTCTCTGCGATCGAGTGAACGACGACCAAAAGGGACACCTTCATCTGCCCAATACTTTGATTTCATTTGTCCATCCAAATGAAACCTCCAGAGCAAACTGTGAGGTTGGCACAACCTCAACTTTTATGGGGCTCTAGTGCTAGGTATTTAGGGAAAATGCTTGGATTCATATGAGAGAGTCCACGAAATACCCCTAACTTATCGGTCCCCTCTAAGAACAAAACCCTAGTCCTTGATCCTCAAACAACTAGACCTAGTGGGCTTTAGGAAAGGAAATCACAAGGGATTAGGGGATTTCACCTACACGACGGCTGATTGAAGGGGGATTTCACCTTCACGACGGCTGATTGAAGCATTTCTTTCATAGAAAGAAGCTCTCATCACCAAAAAGAGTGTCGAGCTCATTGAATTTCTTCTCCAATGTGACGAGGAATCTTTCCTCACCAAAAAAGATGACAAGAACGATGAAATCTTCCTTTTCCAAAGTCAAGAAGAAGCTCTCCTCCTCAGAGAGTCACCAGAAAGTCTCCGAAGAGGAAGAGAATGGTTGCACGAGTGGAGGAAAAGATGAAGGAAAATTTTTTCCCTCATCTTCTCTTTGAGGACAACGAAGAAATCTTCCAATAAAGCTCCTCACAACCTCCCTTTCTCTTGCTTTCCTTCCCAATTCTAATAATCGCCCCTCCAAATGAAATGAGGCATTTTCCCTTAATTAAATCTCCTCAAAGGGCTTACCATAAGGATCTAAGCTACCTTCCACATTTAGCATGGTCTCAAAATTCTTTTTATGTCATTTTAAGGTTGAGAACCAGACAAAGGGAGGAAGACCACTGGTCATGGTTGCCTCACCAGTGGTAAAGCTGGGTTCAGAGGTCAAAAATTACTATGCAGGTTCTAGCAGCGTGGCAATGCAGGACTTGGGTGTGGTCACACTACTATTCAAAGTGTTACGGATCGGGATCTGGCATGGCTACGTCTGAGGCTCTGTGTAATTACGATGGGCGCTTTGTCTAGCCGGCGTGGTCACGTAGGTTAAGGGATCTGGAGCGCTTCGGGGTGGCTTTGGTGTTGTCACTCCCGATATACGCATGGTCACACCACTGGTTAGGCATGCTCACGATAGAATCAGACATGGTCGGTCTAGCCCATAGAAAATTTTGGCTTTCGAAAAACTTTGTTGAAGGGGTTTCGAGCATCATGGAAACTTTCAGAGGCTCGGATATGAGCAGTTACGATCTTGGGACCTCCGTAAGGGAGCTTCTTGAAAGTGTTCGAGAAGGTGAGCTATACTCGTGTCGTTGAGCACAACCGTTCCAATCAAGAAGTTATCTATCCAGACCTTAAGCTTAAGACACGAACATGTATGGAGCAACCTCATCAATGCTCTATGTCACGAGAATATCTGTATCAAGTAGATACAACCCCATGCTACAGGTAGGGTTGTAAACGAGCCGAGCTTGAGCGAGCTCAGGCTGGGCTCGTGTTCGGCTCGTTCAAAATAGCTCGTGTTCGAAATCGGCTCGTGTTCGAAATCGGCTCGTGAACAGTGTGTTCGTGTTCGGCTCGATTTAAATATTTGTGTTTGTGTTCGGCTCGAAATTGGCTCGTTAAACTAAAATTAAGAAAAAATAGATGTAAAGTGTGAGATCCGAACCTGGGTCAAATCTATACAAAAAAAGACACTAATCACATTGCCACATGAGATGTTATGATTTATACTTAGACGTAAATATATATTATATATTATTATATAAATATATTGTTATATAAAAAGTCATATAATTTTTTTTTGAGCCATTTCGAGTCGAACACGAGCGAACAAACTGTTGTTCGTGATCAGCTCGTTTACATTTCGAGCTTAAAAATTTGTTCATGTTTGGCTCGTTAGGCTTAACGAACGAGCCGAACACAAGCTGCTTAACGAGCCGAACACAAGTTGTTCACGAACAATGAGCCAAATTGGCAGCCCTAGCTACAGGAACCAACGTCATCGTGGAGGATACGAGTGGCGATGTTGGTTTGACCACAATCAACTCAGAGTACTGCTATGATGGTGTAAAACCCAACTATAACACCGTGTTACTCAACCAGGAGGTTCTTCTTAGGTTGCATAAAAAAAAGTGGATGTTAACAATGGTGGTGAGATCCTTATTGTTCTATGGAGCAGAATGTTGGCCTTTAAAAGAGAAGCAATGGAGAAAAATGATTCTCGTAAGCAACCCCACTTAGTGTGATAAGGGTTTGAAGTTATTGTTGTTAGATACAAAATGCATAATGAATATATCCATACATAGGGATGTCAGAGATAAAATGTGTAATTCCTATGTATTTATATATCTAACGCTTAAACATTGCATTTTCATAAAACTTTTTCATTTACAAGAAAGGTTTTACATGTGTTACACATGATAGCTCTAATAATTTAGCTTAAACAATGAAAATCACTAAAAAATTAATTTTTTATCGATTTTCTATCAAACTGACCTTCGGTTGAATCAAAATTAGGTCATTTAACATCATATTGATATTATGTATATCGAAGATCATTAAATCTATTAAAACGTCTCATTTTAATATTGGCTGCAACTGTAGCTATTCCAACCCTTTCACGAATATATTTGTTTCAAATTTTGTTTCCAATTGTGGAGCCAATCATAGACCAAAACACTTTACAAGCTCTCAAAAATATTTTCATCTAGTTTCTTCAACTCGATGGAGTATCTGCTCGTACATTTACCCAACGAGGCATTGGTTGGAGGTTCAATACAGTACTGTTTGATGTATCCGTTTGAGAGATAATTACTTTGAGACAAGGTTGTTGATAACTCATTTATAAAAAAGATTGGCAATATATGTCAAGCAACATTTGCTTTTTAGATTTTTTACTAAAATGAATAGAACTATGAAGAATACGGCGATGCTAGGAGGATCAATTACTTATATTTCAATGATATTTCAATGTGGGAACATTTTATTTGTGGATTCGTTAAATTTAGTTAAAGACAATGAGACAAACAGAGTGATTGAGAATAACTTCGCCAAGTGGTTTACAATACTTGTGAGTTAAAATTAACATACTTATTCCTCATGTGACACTAGACTTTTCATTAACACAAAATTTCTTATGTATATATTAATAGATTCATAATTGGAGAAAATTGGAGAAATTGAGTGACAGATTCAGTGGTTGATAGATCTTGCTTGGGGGTCTACTCACATCGTAAAAATCTGGCAAATTTAGCGAAGAAATTGGTACAAGTTTTATACAAGATCCTGGTCCGAAGAAAAAAATCTCTTAATTTCGACACTTATG